GAGGAGGAGGAAACGGAAGAGGAGGAGGAGGAAAGTAGAGCACGCCACAGAGTGCGCAGAGCATTCAAAGACGCACGCGCGAACTCAGTGCGATTTCGCGCGCGCCCTCGACCTCGAGATACTCCACAATCCCTCGTTTTCGAGGAAGTACGGAGGACGACTAGGACGAGTAGGAGGAGGCATAAGCGGATGTCAAGACGATTGGGAGGAAGAGGATGAGGAGGAGGAGGAGGACGGAGGAAGAGGAGGAGGAGGATGAGGATAATGGCTGGGCGGAGGAGGACTAGGACAAGGACGCGGAGAAGGAGAAGCGGAGAAGGTGGATGATGATGAGGGGAACATGTAGTATGATGAATACTGATGATGATTCGGATTATGCTGTGGGGAGGAGGAGGAAGAGGATAAGAAGAAGGAGGGGGAAGAGGAGGAGGAGTAAGAGTAGGAGGATAACCGATGTAAACCCAGGACTCATCAACGACATTGAAATTAAACCTCCCTCCGAACTCCCTCTTCGTAAAATCCTCCACGGGTTTGTCTTCACTCCGACAAATTCACCGTTGGAAGACAACCGTTTGAACATGCGGAACTGTGCCCGAGCCATTTCTTGGAAGTCGGGGCAGCGAATCACCATTAGTGTTCCGTCTTGACGATCCTGAATGTGACAGAGCGCCATTCGTGGGACTTCAACACCGCGGATCAATGTGACTGTTCCGCCCTGAAATTCTAACATCGTGCTAAAACACCATTTCTGGGACGTTGACCATGAGTCCATGACACGGTTGCGAATTCTTCAAACGAATGTGTGCGGCGCTAGCGTGAGCGCCACCTTTTGAAAAGGAACAGCCCTCCATCCATGAAGCCCTTGCGAACTTTTCCAACGAATGTGCGCGGCGCTCAAACGGGCACCGCATTTAGAAAAGAAACCACCCTCCATCCGTGAAGATCTTGCAGACTTTTGAAAAGAATGTGCGCGGCGCTGAAGCGAGGACAGCATTTTGAAAACGGACCGCCTGCAATCCGTGAGCCTCTTACAAAAATTCAGCACGACTGTGTTCGGCGCCAAAGGGGCAACCACATTTTGAAAGCGGACCGCCCTCCATCCGTGAAGCTGTTGCAAATTTTCAACTTCATGACCATAAATTGTGAGGAAGTCTCTGGCCAAACGTCCGGCCCACCCTTTCGACCAGCTTCGGGGTGCGACACGGGGGAGTGATCTATAAGTAAAAAGAACGGAAGAGACAATGCAACATAGACTTTGCTCTTGAGTGTCACATTTGCCGCGGTCCTTTTGCATCGTATATTTTGCACCACGAATCCTCACCACATCCAACTGCATAACTTGAATTCGCATATATTCATTCTCTTTCTGTCTCACTTGTGCTGCTGCCCATGGTCCTCGTCCTACTAATTGCCCTGCGTCTTGACTCCAACGACTACAACCCCCAACCGCAAACAATAGCTTGGAGGCCTCTAGGAACCTCTGGAACTCTGGTGACCTCGTCCTCGTCTTCGAACTTCTCGTCGTTGTCGTATTCCTCCTCCAACTCCTCGACCTCATCCTCTTCGTCCTGCATCCCCGTCCCTTATCGGTACCCCCTGTTTTTCTCCACGTCCAAGGTGGGGTTCTTGTTTTCTCTGGACACCCCGCGCAGGAACACCCCGCCCTCTCCCTCCTCATCACTCACCCTCACTCACTCCTTCACTCACTTATCAGCATCGTCATCTTCATCAATCACACACTCACGCACACTCACAATCACTCAAACACCCACACGCACTCACTTCTCATCGTTATCATAATCATCATCACTCGCTCACTCATTCACTCACTCACCATCATCTTTAACTCACTCATCACTTTGTCATCACTCAATCTCTGGCTTGACAATAGAGGATGTCAGGGGCGGGAGCCTCGTATGTGAATGGATTGCGAGAGCGTCTCACGCGGGAGGCTCCTCCCTATGGGGTCCGCACTTCATGTTCGAATCCGAAGCGGGGCATCGGAATCCTGTAATTGTCGTCACTTCTGGGCTCCTCAGGCTTGATTAAGGAGGAAGTATCACGCGGGAGCCTCGTCTGTGAGTGAATTGTGAGGAAGTCATAGGCGGGAGCTCCCTCCCTAAGGGGCCCGGGCTTCATGTTCGAATCCGAAACGGGCCATCGCAATCTTGTAACTGTCGTCACTTGTGGGCTCTTCAGGCGTGAATTTAGAGGAAGTATCAGGCGGGAGCCTCGTCTGTGAGTGAATTGCGAGGAAGTCTCAGGCGGGAGCCCCCTCCCTGAGGGGCCCGGACTTCATGTTCGAATCCGACGCGGGTCATCGGGATCTTGTAAGTGTTGTCACTTTTGGGCTCCTCAGGCTTGAATTAGGAAGAAATATCAGGCGGGAGCCTCGTCTGTGAGTGAATTGGAGGAAATCTCAAGCTGGAGCCCCCTCCCTAAGGGGCCCGGGCTTCATGTTCGAATCCGAAGCGGGCCATCGGAATCCTGTAATTGTCGTCACTTTTGGGCTCCTCAGGCCTGAGCTTGGAGGAAGTATCAGGCGGGAGCCTCGTCTGTGAGTGAATTGCGAGGAAGTCTCATGCGGGAGCTCCCTCCCTAAGGGGCCTGGACTTCATGATCGAATCCGAAGCGGGTCATCGGAATCCTGTACCTGTCGTCATTTTTGGGCTCCTCAGGCCTGAATTTGGAGGAAGTATCAAGCGGGAGCCTCGTCCGTGAATGAATTGCGAGGAAGTTTCAGGCGGAAACTCCCTCCCTCCCTCCCTCCCTCCCTCTCGGTCTGGGGCTTCGCCGAAATCCAAACAAAATCGAACAGCCCCTAGGCCCTCGGAGAAGGAGGATGATGAGGAGAAGGAGGTGGAGTCGATGCCGTCGTCTTCACCGTCGTCGTCGTCGTCGTCGTCGTCGTCGTCGTCGTCGTTGTCGTCGTCAGGTCGGCGTTTTGATTTTGGGCCCCCTCCCTCCCTCACTCCTTCCTCCACTTCCTTTAGTTTCCTCCCTCTTCCTCCTCCTCCTCCTCCTCCTCCTCCTCCTCTAGTTTCCTCCCTCCTCCCCCCCCCTCCTCCTCCTCCTCCTCCTCCTCCTCCTCCTCCTCCTCCTCCTCCTCCTCCTCCTCCACGATCCTCCTCCCTGCCCCCCCTCCTCCTCGCGTGAGCACCTTCGGGCCCACTTCCCCAGGATGAGCATGCAACAATAGCATCAGAGAAGGATAGTAGTAGCATCAATGATCGAACCGGATTTTGTCTTATTCGTTTGCGATCCGTTCCGGATTGAACTGCGCTCGTAGTTTTACAGATATGTGTTGTATCCCTCTGATCCCACTAGACGTACTAAAGCCGAGGCTCACGCCCCGAAGCGCGCAACGCCGGTGCGAACAACTCTGCTGGTGCGAACGGCCTGCCGGTGCGACCACTGAGGGGATCTGCCAAGGGGCAGACAGGAGGTGTCAACGTTTCTCTCCTCCCCCATCTTGCATCATATCGGCACTCGTAATACGTACAGGTTTTCAAGCCACAGGCTCAGACAATCAGTGCAGCCTCCCTCCTCCTCCCTCCTCCCCCTCCTCCTCTTCCTCTAGTTCCCTCCCTCCTCCTCCCGGTGCTTCTCCCTCCCCCCTCCTCCGCCTCTCCCCCCCCTCCTCCTTTAGCTTCTGGCCGCGTACGACTCTTGTACCATCCAGTCAACGTCGGCGAAAGCCTCTGGCCTCGTCACCCATGCGAACCTGTGGCCGTACAGGTGGTTTTCATTTTGTCGATGGCGAAACCCTCTGGCCTCGCCAACTGCGTGAGCCTCTGGCAACGCATTGTTATCCTATCATTATGTACGACGAGAGCCTCTGGCATCGTCATCGTTCGCTGTGCAGGCCTCAGGCCGCGCGCGTGGCGATCATTCTATCGACAGCGAGAGCCCCTGGCCTCGTCAACTGCGTGAGCCTCTGGCAACGCAGGCTTTTGACACTTTGTTTTGATACGACGAGAGCCTCTGGCATCGTCCGCTGCGCGGGTTTCTGGAGCGCGGGCCGCTGGCGTCTTTGCGGGAGGCGCTCAAGAAGTTCGAGGAACAAGCGAAGACCTCCAGGTATGAGGCCGAGCAGTTTGCCGCGGAGCTTGGCTTCGTGCTGCCTCGCGCCTGAGCGCCGCGGCGCGCATCTAGAGGCCCGCGGGGTTCTTCCAACGGTGTGGCCCGCGGGGTTGTCCCGACGGCCTGCCCCCGCGCCCCAGCGGCCCGCGGGGTTGTCCCAAAGGCATGGCCCGCGGGGCTGTCCCAAAGTCTTTGCGAACCAGCCGTCGGCGAACGCGAGCGCGCTGGCCGGGCGGCGACGGCGCCGAGGAACATCGATTTGCTTGCCCCGACCAGGGGGAAAGGGGAAACACATGGATAAGAAACATGGGAAGAATGAGGACGGGGAGTGGGTTGGGAGAGGGCGATGATGATTGGGAGGAGGAGGATGAGGAGGATGAGGAGGGGGACGAGGTGGAGGTCGGTCGGTCGGTCGCTGCATCGAGCCTCGATTCGAAGGATGAACTGCAACGCATCTCGGGAGGAAAAAATCGATATGTACGACCTGCAGTGCGCGCCGGACGGATCGGAGAAGGCGCGCCCTCCCCTGGGAGCCCCGAAATGTCTTCAGGAGGAGGATAAATAGAAGGATGAGGTGGACAAATATTAGGAGGAGGAGGAGGAGCCAGGGTACCTTGAAAGAGAAGAGACGGGGGCAAGCGGACAAGAAACGAGAAGAGGGCAAGTGATCCGATCCCGCTCCCTGCTTGCTGCCGCTACGCCTACTTCCATTGGATGTGAGATGTGGCAGAGCAGGCCGCTGCATTCGGACGTGCTATGTGATCGTGCGGGGAAGGTAGCTCGGGAACGCTCGAAAAGACAGGACAAGCAAGGATGGGAGGAAACGGCGAGGAAAACGGGAGCAGCAGCGACGGGGAAGAGCGGGATGGAGCGTGCCATGTGTGGGGCACAGGGCTGCATCGATGGGCTGCGAAGGCCTCAGCGTCATGCGCAACAGCCGCCACTCCGAGCGGCGGAACGGCACGTTCATCATGTTGAAGCTCCGAAGCGGGGCATACCGATTGGTCTGCCAGGCCATCGAAAGACGAGCAGCAACATCAAAGTTGGAGGAGATCCGAGCGCCGAAGGTACAGAGCGCCAGGAACCGCCCAATCGTGCCCGTCGCCAGCAGCAGCATGCAGAAATGTATCAGCATCATGAAAACCTTGTTTGGGAAGGTCGGCGTCGGCCGAGCAGCGACGGTACGTAGCACCAGGAACAGCCCATTCATGCCTAGCGCCTTCGGGATCGACGTCGCGAGCAGCAGCATGCAGAACGCGGGCCGGGCGAGCAGCGGCAGCGGCTCCAGGATCAGCTTCAGGAAGGCCTTGTTCGGGAAGGGCGGCGTCGGCCACTTCTTCTCCCTTCGCGTCAGAGTCGCTCTCCCTGTGGGGCGTGCAGTGATACCAAAGCTGCTCCATGAAAATTTCGTACAATGTACAGCGCTTATGGCCATCAACCATCGCCCATGCGGCCTCGTGCTTCAGGATCTTCATGGCCTCCGTGTATGTGGTGTTGTAGCTGGCCAGCTCCGTGGTAGCGAGCATGTGAACGAGATGGCGCGCCGCAGCTTCGTCAAGACGATCACGGCGACGAACTAAAGGTTGATGTGGTGCGCGCGGTAGGCGTGCAGCCAGGAGACGCTTCCAAGCCTCGGGATGCGGGTGGTCACCATCTCCATCGCGAGCTTGAGCGGGACGGGCTTGACCACTATCACGTTTCGTAGGAGCGCCACCCACGGCGGCAGTGGAGCAGGCGTGAGGAACACGGTCAGCAACATCAAGTTGAGCAGCATGCAGACAGGCGCCCCCAGTAGCGGCAGCGGGACCTCGGGCACCATCAAGTTGCGTAGGAACGCCACTGGCAGTGGCAGCAGCGCAGACGTGAGGGCCGCATTAAGCAAGATGAAGTTGTTCGGCATGCAGAGAGGCGCCACCTGCAGCGACAGCGGGGCGGACTGGAGCACCATCAGGTTGCAGTGGAGCGTCGAGAGTAGCAGCAGCGAAGCGATCTTGAACACCTTCAGGGTTGGACGGAACGCCTCCCGCAGCGGCGGGAGAGCGGACGTGAGGAACACAATCAGCAACGGTAGGTTGTTCAGCATGCAGAGAGACACCACCTGCGGCGGCAGCGGGACGGTCTTGAGCACCATCAGGCTTCGTTGAAGCGCCACGTGCAGCGGCGTTGGAGCGGACGTGTAGACCACTGTCAGCAACATAGTCACTGATACCACCAGCTGCAGCAGCGTGTCGGGCGGAGTCTTCGTGAAGAAGATGATACCCTGTAGCAGAGGAATGCGAAGTAGATGAAGCTTCCACGCGCGGCGGATATGAGGAAGCAACCGCAGAGCCTGTGCAAACGCCTGTTCGCCTGTTGCCACGAACGTGTCCATCTCGGACTCAACGTCGGTGTAGACATGCTCGTTGAGATTGGCAATGAAGTTGGCAACTTGTCGAAAATCACCACCACCATCACAAAGGCCCAGCGGTACGAGGGTCGGTACGCGCATGTACTGCATGAGGATCTGCATCGCGTGCGACAGCGCCAACATCCCGTAGGCCAAGGCGTGTGTGAGACCCCCTTCAGGCTGCGGCAGATGGCGAGGTAGTAGCACGTCGAGTTGAAGCACTCGTTTGTCCGCAGCCTGTGGGTGTGGGTCCGCACCGGGAGCAGGAGGAAAGACCGGAACGCGATGTTTGGCGCGGCCAGCCCGCGTGTTGATGGCCCTCAGCTGCGTCAGCGAGTTGGTGTCGAAGAGGGGGGCGGCCTGGTCGATCGCCGTGCGCAGGCTGTGGGAGCGCACCCCGGAGACCGTTTGCACCACGGAGTGAGCCGAGATGCCATTCACGATGTCCTTGGCGTGCGTCGTCAGGTGTTCGGGGACGACCACGTGGCGCATACCGAGGGTAGAGCACGAAGATATCCACGCTGGCGAGCTCGGTCACGGCGGAGTCCCAACTTCACGTAGGAGCGGCAGTGCACCGCGTGGCTGAGAAAACTGGCTAGCAGGCACCACGCTGCGGCGGCGGCGCACACCATTTCATGCGGATGGCAGGGCGCGTCGGGGGCCCTGGCCTAGCATGTGGTTTGAGCCAGAATCGCTACGGAGGAGGGGGAGGAGGAGGAGAGGGCACGGCAGAGGGCGAGAGGAGGGTGTCTGCCAGGACGAGGAGGAAAGGGTTAAGGGCAAGCTAAACATATTCTCATGTGGGGTCCTTCCGTCGGAGTAATTCTCACTACCAGACGTGTCGTCAGGGCGGGCCAGGCGTTTCGCATGAGACTTCCTGGCCGTTTACGCCCTTGAAACTTAACACGTCCAACAGTTGCACGGATGGGGGGCGGTAAGCTTTCAAAATGGAGCTTTCGCTTACGCGCAGCGCACATTCGTGTCAACCGCTTGTAAGATGAAAGTCGGCTCTTTTTCAAAATGGGGCTCCTGGTAAGCGCTGCGCGCATTCGTCTCAAGCGCCATCTCAAGCGCCACTACCACCTCAAATGTAGGCACTAGAAGCTTGAACCTGTGTCCACAAACTCGGTGGCCAAATCTGTAACTTGTGCAACAACTGTACGGGTGGGGGCGGCTCCTTTTAAACACAGGGCTCTTGAAGGACACATCCTTGATTACGCATTCTGCATTAGACCTTGTACACCGCTAGAACAAACAAGGCAATTTCCTTTTCAAAGCGGGGCTCTCGGCCTGAATGGCAGGCCCACCGGGTGCTCGTCTTCCAAGGGGGCGCTTCTTGCAGTGAAAAGGAATGTTTGGAAGGACCTTTGAGGAGGGAACCAGGGACGGGAGGGTGTGTCGAAACATCGTCGATGCATCCTGACTCTGGACACTGAAGATGTTGGAGCAAGCCGAACGTATTCTCGTCAGACATGCCTCACGCTGTCTTGCGGTTGTTTCGGTTCCAACGCACCCTGGTCGAACTATCAACTGCGACCCTGTTTCGAGGGCCTCCGAGCGGGCCGCGGCGGTCCAGCGAGCAGTTGAAGCCTCCACCCACTGCTGGAAGAAATTTCCACGGGGAAGGAGCTGTAGGTTGAGTGGCAAGCTGGTCATTCGTGGCCAAATTGAGATCATCCCCAGGCTCGGCTCCAGGTGTGCTGCGATGAAGTTGCCTGCGCCTGACCCCCACCCTGGGGCTGGCGGACCTGTTCAGAAAACATGTGTTCGCTTGCCTCGAGGGTTCGAGTCGCTCCAACCCTTCAACGGTCAACTTTTTGCTCGATGCAGTGGGCGGATCCTAACTCCAGGTTCGGCCGCCTCGGATGGAAAGAAAGATCACGTCCTGCACAATTCGCACCAACTGCGGCAGAAAACGCATCTATTTTCTGCGGTTCCTGTGGGCTTTACGCCGATGGCGCTGAGAAGACGCTGTTGGAGTGCGAATCGGTCGTGTTTGGTCATAATTTGAGTGACCAAGGCACAATACACTGCCATCATGCGGGTCAGGAAGCGTCTCCCTCCCCTAGGGGGCCCACAAAGGACGTACGCACCCAGCTATTTACATGAACACGGCCCCTTGACCCGCGAGACCGGCCGCGTGATACGAACACTCGCGCCATGCGAACTCTCGAAGCCAGCGTGGATTCATGTACGTGTACGTCCTTCTTTCGCTCCCGATCCCCGTGCTGGAGTCAATGAATGGGGAGGGACGGAGGAGGCCAGGACCAAACCGCAGTCGCAATTTTGGGTCCGTTTTATTTTTCCTGGCTTGTTCGCGGAGTTTGTCACCAGTTTGCCTCGTCGATTTCTCACGTCGGATGCGCGAGTTGTGCATTTTATTCAACACATTTCAAGCCTACTGCTTGGTATAAACGTGTCTGCTAATCCTCGATTCTGTCCTGAGCTTAGTATGGCAATGGTGCCTCGTAAAAACTCGTCTTCCCTTAGCTGCCCACAACTCGACTCTCACTCTATCTAAGATATGCTATGGTATGGAATTTTGAAAGCACGTCTCGATCCATCTCCGCGCGGCTGACCAGGATGGACCAACATACTTCGAAGATCCCAGAGCTAGGGGTGGGAGTCGGGATCGGGCTGGCGACCGCTTTTCTCCTTGTCACTCGGCCACATCCGAGAATGACCCGTAGAAAGGAGCGACCTTTGGCGCGGCTTGCTGGCCGTTGCACGCCGTGCGACACTGACACCAGCGGCCTGCGTGCTTGGGCCTGGACCCACCCCCCCTCCTGCGCCCCCAGCACGAGCCGCGCACCAGAAGGTCTCTGGCTAGGGGCCGCTCCTACGTGCAGCCTATTCTCCGCCTTGGCGCCTCGGCGGCTGGCCCTGGCTCCGTCCCTCAACACCTCCGCCAGACCTCCCCCGACCACCGCCTCCCCCGGTGATTCCGAGCGGCGTCCGTCCGCGGCGACACGTTTCTTTGCCTGTCTCATCTGCGGCGACACGTGTGGGTCACCGGCGTCCGAAGGAAAGAGCCCCGACATCGGGACGTCGCGGAAGAAGCACAGCGTTCGGTTCTATCCCTCGGGCCCCGGCGCCGTCACGGATCGACACGGCTGGAGGAATCCCGAAGAAAAATGGGATGGACAGCTCTCCATTCGTCGTTTCTCTTCGACACTGTGGTGCGCAGAAGGACTCTATTTTACACCACCACCGTGCCTAGCCAGGGCCATCCTAGGCCCTAGCATGATGGAGGCCATGAAGGTCTATACAACATCCTGGGGCCCAGAATGGCCTCTGGCCAAGCACGGTGGTGAGTGTGGATGCCTTCTGCGGATGTATTCTTTCACGACGTTGGAACTCGGTGGGGGGGAAGGGCGCGAGTGAAGAAGGTGCTCGTCCTGCTGCTCCTCCTCTCATTTCGCCGCTTTACCAGCTGCCAGCGTCGCGCGGTAATGCCGCCGTGCCTGTGAGCAGGCGCGTGGGCCGGCCCAGGAGCTCACCACGCGTCAGGGTGACCGGGCCCCCCGCCGCTGCCGCTGCCCAGTCGCCTATGCGTCGGGTGCAGCACGATACCAACTGCAAGATTCGCCACTGCTGCACCCGCAAGTGGCACAAGCGTGTCCCATGTCGCAGACGCCACTCAACAACGTTGCCATAGCGTGTGCTCTGGTGACAACGCAACATGTAAGCATAATGGAAGCGACATCGGCAGGGGCACGGCGACATCGGCGAGGATGATCTTGTTTTGCGCTGGCGTCAAAGGACGGCGTGCAAATTCCAGCACTGCGTTGCGCCCGCAGAGCGAAGCGATTCTTCGCGGTCCGCTGTGCGCGTGGCATGCGCGTGCGCGTCGGCACACAAACGCACAAGTCATGCGTAAAAGATGCTCGTCCTCCGCCCGCCGACCTGTTGCCCCGCGGCTGTCCCGATGACGGCCCAGAGCGGACCCGAGAGCCCCGAAGCTTCTTTTCCAGCTTTGCGCTCCGCAGTGAGGTCTCTGATGCAAAAACAAAGAAGGTGACCTTTGGTTTTTAGGCCAGCCTCTCTGTCAATGAAAGGGGGGGCGGTGACCCACCCTCTCTTTGTCACGAAGGGGTGTGGGGGGAAAGCCCTTGCTGTCAAGGAGGGGAAGGAGGATGAGGATGAGGATGAGGATGAGGAGGGCGAGGTGGAGGACGGAAGATCGGGAGCAGGAGAAGCGGGACGAGCAGGAGGAGGAGGAGGAGAAGGAGGAGGAGGAGGAGAAGGACAAGCAGGAACAGGAGCAATGCGACGAGTAGCCCCCCCCTTCTGTCACAGATGGGACCCCCTCCATGGTACGGACTGGAGAATGGCCCCTTTTGTGTCACGGCGGGAGTTTCATCCTATAGCCAGCGTGTGTCCAAAGCACTGAAATATTGCACGGCGGACGTGTAAACTATGTGGTGCAAGCTATGTGGTCTAAGCTATGCGTTGCAGTATACATGGTGCCAACTAGAGGAGGCAGAGAAACGGCACCGGGCGACAGCGTGGCGAAACTTCGACGGACACAACACACCTAATGCTCGATGCGGCAACGCGGCTGCAATGGTCGGCAACGTGGCGACCCCTCGCCGTACCCAACCAATTCCTGAAGGAAACAAGTAAACACCCCAGAGTGCAAACACTGTTTGGGGAATTACCTGTGGCTTTTCGACGAATGACAGCCTCAATCGTGCAACCCGCCACGGGGACACAAACATGTCCAACAAGAATTCAGATACCAGTGCTGGTGAGCTTTCCTCCTGCTCCTGCCTTTCTCGGCTACACGAAAGATTGACCCTCGGCGAGAGTGACCTCTGGTGCGTGGCTTTCGGGGGCCCGGGCGGGGGGACAGAGCCAAGCGCGCAAACCCGTGCCCGGGGGAATCCCAGTGGGCCCGCTCCAAGGGGCACGCCGGCGAAGGGTCACTCTTACGCGAAGTCGACTTTCCTTCTCCTCCCCGTCCTCTTCCTTGTCGCGCTCTCCTTGTCCCGCGGCCCCGGCGCGTGCTCACAAGAGGAAGGGGAGGTCCCGGCACTTCTGCCCGTAGCCTCGGTGGAGGAAGTCTACGGGCCTCCTCCTCCTTCTCCTCCATCCCCCTCCCTCCTCACCCCTCGCTCTCCTCCTCCTTCTCCTCCTCCTCCTCCTCCTCCTCCTCCTCCTCCCTCCTACACCTTCAACTCTTCATCCCTCCTCCTCGTGGCTAGCCCTCCTCCAAGGCCTCCTCGTCCTCCTCTTCTCGTCCTCCTCCTCCTCCTCCCTACACCTTCTCGTCCTCATCCCTCCTCTCGTGGCCAGCCCTCCTCCAAGTCGTCCTACTGTTCCTCCTCCTCCTCCTCCTCCTCGTCATCGTCAAAATTGTGGCCCTAGGGTTAATCGCAGTCAGGAAGGCGGGCGGAACGCTCGTACTCGCGCAAGCCGTCCCCACCCACATCGAGGAGAGGAGGGGGGGAAACAAACGGCTCGCTTCTTCTGAACGTCCAACGCTTCGA